GGTTCTGGCCTTCCCGTTGGTTTGCTTTCTTTGCCTCCTCGCCTGCATTTTTCGACGAATGCGGCTTGACAGCTTTGTACTGTACCTTGTTACTATCTGCCACGTCAAAAGAATCTAGTTATTTGATCGGCTTCTCTCATTTTTTGTCAATGCGATAACATAGGACCTTATACTGTTTCACGAGCTCCATCAAGATGCCCTCAAACCCAAATCAGTCACGCGCATGAACTTTTAGCTTTATTTTGAACACTGATGATCACGTTGTCGCTCATCGCCTGAACTTACTCCCATTCCAACTCAAGTACACGCCGTTATAACCGGAGTCCAGAAGCGCTCTCAGTGTCAGAACCTAAACGATGGATAAGTTTATCGGTACATGGAAGTTGGAGAACAATGAGAACTTTGTTGACTACTTGAATCGGCTTGGTGCGCCCGCTTTGGTTTCGAAGTTTGTTAACCGACAGCCTGTCAAAGTTTACATACGCCAGGAGGGAGATGAGTACATCATTGAAAGTGTAACCGCCGCGATAAAAATTACGACCAACTTCAAGCTGGACGAAACATTCGAGGAACCCATCATGGGTGAGTCAACTGCCAAGGTTAGATGATACGCTTACTTATGTTTTCTTAAGAACAAGTCACTGATTAGACTGGAAAATGGCGTCCTTCACTATCGACAAAGGGGAAAGAAACCACGTGAAAAGAAGGAGCAGGAGTCAAACAGTACATGGAGCGTGGATGGGGATAGGCTGAATGTTGTGAGTTGAGATTATGACATCCTGTTTCATTCTGGAAATGCAATCATCTTGCATGCATAAAATACATGTTAAGCATTTAATGCTGCGGGACACCTCAGGTGATCACACGTCCATGAGTAATTAATAAAGTTGGGTATGAAAACATGCTTCAGGTAGTCGAGCTGTGCTCAAATTTCAGGCCTAACTGTCCTGCCTATTGTCTTAAGTCCTAGTTATCGTATGCATTTTGTAAATCAAGCCCATTTCTATATCTGTTCGTTCTGCTCGACAGATTTCCTAGTAAAAATAACCTAACCAACAAAAAGGGATACTAGTACGGCCATTTGGGACTTATTGACCCCCGTTGGTCAACAATACCTAACCCTAGTTGTTGCAATGCCTGAGGCTCGAACCGATGAACTTTCGGTTAGAAGTGCACTGCCCTTATCTTTGAAACACACGTTCTTTTTCCTGTCGGTCGCAATCGTAGATAACAGTTCAATGAAGGTTTCAAAACAGCACGTGAAAAACCCGTCCTTGTGTTATACGGGGCAGATGTTAATAAAGGTTTCATTTGGTGTGGCATATCAGGAGAAGGAGAAAATAATAGGAATGCAGCCTGTCCCAAAAATGTATACGCATTTCAACTTATTGTGAAATTGGTGTTTATCATAATTTAATTATTAAATAAATGTAAATATATTAACAAGTATCATTTTATTGTTTTTTTTTACTGAAAGTATTCAAACTGAGGTCCATTTAACCATGACACTGCTGGCAACGTGAAGCAATGGGATCGCACATAGCATGAAACAAAATGTCCTTAGTATTCGGGTGTATTCATGTTCAATGGTTTCTCTAAATTCAGTCATTGTTTTCAATAATCAAAATGCAGTGAAAAAAAAATAAAATGATACCTGCAAATATGTTGACGTTTTGGAAATAATAAAATTATAATAAACACCAAGTTTACAATTATTTAAAATGCGTATACATGTTTTTGGGACACCCTGCAGTTAGGTAAATAACTAAAAAGCCGGATATTTCACTGATAATTAACTGGGCAGTTAGTGCCCAATTTGGCACAATCGTCAAATCTATAACAACTCTAAATCATTTACGTACTGCTTCTATATAAACTCTACATGAAATCTACAGGGATTATATTAATAGATAATATAAGGATGATATAAAGTCGGCAATTTTGCTGAATGTGACGCTACTGGGCCATTTTATTTATGAACAAGGCGAAGATCACGAGTTGAGCAAAATTTAATGACGTCATCCATTTCGTGACCACTCAGTGCCAAAAAAGCTGGTGAGCATCTTCCTCCCATTCAAGGGTGATAGTGTCTCAAACGTGATAAAACGGAGGCTTCGAGGCAC